GTGTGTGTGAACATGTGCATTTCTATCAGGGGCCAACAAATCTGCAAATGCATATGTATGTATGTATGTATGTATGTATGTATGTATGTATGTATGTATGTATGTATGTATGTATGTATGTAATGTATGTACGTATGTATGTACGTATGTATGTATGTATGTATGTACGTATATATTATGTACACATGTGTACCTGTGCTTACAGGCATGCGCCGGCATGCGACGTAGGGCCACAAGCAAGCCTTCACGGAGACGCACATAGAAGAACAAACAAGCTCAAGGATGCATCTATGATGACAAATACATGCATATAGTCCACAATGTAACACTTGTGCACGAACCCACCTTGTATGTACATTGACTTTTGTGAACATACCTGCTTGCAGACTTCGCAGGTCCGTGTCATCGAAGCTGAGCACGATAGCCTTCAGCGACAGACTGCTCATGACTGCTCCCATTTGCAGGGCTGAAACCCCCTGGTGCGCCGGCTTGGTGCACACGAGACCCTGCACTGTTTCAGCGAGTTCCAGCTGCCAAAGACCACTCAACAAGGACGCGGTCTTGAAGGGCATTCTGAAGAGACTGCAACAATAGTTAGGGGAGGGTCGACAGTTGCCCTCGCGTGCTATCCTTCTTCTGTGCCGTATCCGTTTTGACTGGGAAGCTCGCAGAATTTGTCCTGGCAACCGCACCTCCAACCGCACCCCGACACCCAACCTTCCACCAAGCAGAGCGTAGGCCGAAGGCACTCAGTAGTTTTGTGTGACACCTTCTCCAGACGATCTGCTTCAAGCGTGACTGGCACTGCCAGCTCCCTCTGAGAGTTTTCGAAAAATGGCCCAATATAAAGCTGCCACATACACTTCGGGAAACTTCAGGCTGTCCGGACTTTAGAGTACATGAGAAGCGGTTGCGGTTGATGTGTGGGCGCATGCAACCGAGAATCTTTTGCGGGCAGAGGCCTGGGGTGTAGGTAAGCATCTCCAGCGTTGGCTTGCTCAACAAAGTGCCGTGGCTTGTGTGGTACTGTAGGTGCGAGGCGATCGATCTCCACAGGCCGAATTTGTCGAAAATTTTCATGGCCAGCAAGGAGTTCCAAATTTCCTGCATCACAAGCTTTGTGACAGAATCATTAGCAAAAAGCATGCCCATGCACTCAGGTCAAGCACATGCAGGAGGTCATGTGAAGGCTTTGTCATCAGTGCAGGCAGTCTCTTCATCCGAGTCTGAGAGGCTTTGCACATCTGCTGAGAAACCCCGCTTTGCGGGCTCGCGCTCCTCGACTGGTGTGGGGAGCGACAGTGAGAGTTGGCTAGAATGCTGTGTGGTCTCGTTTCCCGCTGCTTTATCAGTGCCAGTTTCGGCTAGCCACGATGCGTCCACCTCACGCTGCCATGGCTCCCGGTATGCAAGTCCAAGAAACTCGAAAATATCGCCCTCTGACGAGAAGCGAGCGGCTGCAATGGGAGGTCCGGTCCAAATACGCTCACCACGACCAGCTCCCCGGGCATGTGTTGCCCGGCAGATGCTGTGATCTGACAAGCTGAACCCCGCTCGTCTCGCAAATAATCTCATGGACCGGTTGAAAGGGCCAGATCCTGTGAAGGAAAGGAGGGCAAATGGAAATTCCAGCACAGGGTAGACTTTGATGTCAATTCGTCGGTGCAGGCTTCCGGCACGAGGCAACCGGCAAACGCCAAAATAGGTTGCAGCAGAAGAACTTCGCAGCTCTTCGCCCTCGATACCATCCTGGCCATTGCCGGTTTGGCGGCCATGGTTTGGATTCCCACCTTTCAGATCATGGGTAATGAAGCTCTGCCCACGGAGATCTGCCACGAGACCTGCCAAGATGTCATGCATAGAGCCAAGGGAATGCTCGTCTCTAGCATTGCGAGCACAAAGCAGCAGGTCAACATCTCCACAGCTCGTCTTCCCACGACGGAAAGATCCGCAAGCTTCCATGCGCAAATGGCCACCAAATCGCTGACTGACAGCTGCTCGAACAACTGCAACGATTTCTTCTACCTCTGTCCGCGGAATGCGCTGCGAGAACTCTTCAAAGAAGTGCAGACCGATCCTAGCATAGTTTCGAGATCTGGGGTGGTACTCAAGAAACACTCCTTGAACGTAGGGGCGGCCTTGATTAAAGTCTTGTATAGCCAACAGCTTCTGCGCCGATGCAACTCAGTATGCTGGGGCAAACCGGCTGTATTACGTGCACTTGTAGATCAGCACGATCCCTGTGCGACGTGCGGACCTGAGCAGTGTCCCTGCAGCCTGTCTCAGGAATTTCGGTGCGTGGCTCACGTGATGAAAATGGCGGGGGTGCCCTGGAAATTGTGGTTTTGTGGTGTGTCTTTTGTGCTGCTCTTCCAATCATGTGTATCGGCATGCCTTTGAAACACATCAAGAGCCTCACTAGAGCCTGCACAAGTTTCATTGCGCGGTCCCAGAACGGACTAACATTTATGCCGCCAGATGGAGGTTTTAGCCTACACGATGTAATATGCCACTGGAGCTCAAGACTCCCATCTCCGAACAGGTGCAGTGAAAAAATCAGAAAAGTCGGGGAGTCAAACAGAGTTGCTAAGATCAACCCGGGAGCGTTTGGTCTGCACTCAGCCGCAGCGATCCGTCCTGAACGCGCTGCCTTACATCGGCGATAGTCCGGCAGCCAGATCCAAGCCACCTCCTCGCAGTTGTCAGACCCACACCCCAGATACCTTGCAATTCTCCTAAGGCTTTTGCGACCTCGTCCGTCTGCAAGCCTTCGACTCTGCCGATGCTTCCCGTCTGCAGAAATTCTTTGAGTTTATCGCGTGTCTTCCTGCCTAGTCGCTTCAGCTCCGGTCGATCCAGGTCTGCTTCCGATCCCACCTCGAAGGACAGGCTGCGCAGAACGCTCGCTGTCAGCCGATAAGATCTTTCACGCCATCCATCGCCCAATGACTCGTAATGCTGCTGCAGACGGTTGAACATGGCCACGAGCTCGGCATTGCGGGGCTTCGGTGGAGAGCCAGTCGTGCTTTTTTCGGGCGAATTCCCACCACCACGCTGGCACGCAAACTTGTCACGGTTGCGGATCAAGTAGGCTCGCTTTGGAGTCATCTCTCCGCCAAAGACTCCAAGTTTGGGAAGGACCTCTTCAACTTCCGAATCAGATTCCCCCTGTGTAGGTGCCGGACTTCGAGCCGGCGTAGACGGCGTAGACCCCTGCCCTGCAAGTGGTTTACCCACAGTGGGCGGGGTTGCATCTACAACTCTACATTCTTGAACGGAAACCGGATCGTGACCATGCTCCCCCTTCTCCGATGCATGTCGGGACCAAGCGAAAGCTTCTTCTGAGACACGGCTCTGCTTGGCCAGGCAAGTGACGAGCCAATCGCTGTAAACCCAGACTGACTTCAGAGACTCGGCAAAAGCGCGTAGAACAGACAAAGGATCTTTGCTGTCACCTTCGCCCTTGCCTTGCATAGTTTTGCTGGCCCATGCCCCTAGGCGGACGGCAGTGACTTCTGGAGTGATGACCATGTGGGTGGCCGAAGACGGGGAATTTGCCAGGCAACCGCCAGCTGCTGTAACCTCCCTTTCCCAGATCGTCCTCCTGGAAGTTGTGGCAGAGCCTAGGGGAACTACGAAGAGGCAGATTCCGTGCGCCCAGTCGCTTTTGCGCAGCACCTTGGGAGGAGATGCATCCGATGCATCTTGCGCGTAAGATCTGCGAAGAGGACGCTTGGAAGCGGCCATGGGTCATCTTCGCTGAGAGAGCGCTCTTAGCTTGGAGTTTTTCGCTGCGTATGACACGTCTTAAACCTGCCGACCGCTTCATAGCTCGCGGCTCAACTCATGGAGCCCCATGCCTAAGCTTGCCGAAACTTGGGAAACGACTTGCGGCACTAGCATTCACTCGCAAGCATCACCCACCTCCTGAGACGGGGGCTGTTGCTTCTGCGAGAGCATTCCAGCCATGCATTCAGAAGAACATGCTCGCCGCCCATTGTTTTAGCTCATGAGAACCATAAATACACCCTTGCTTGCAATTTGCCTTGCCAGCAAACTTGCGCAACAAGGCGCCCACTGATTTGTGAGACGAGTAACTGCGTGTACAGGTGGACCATGCCTGCGCCGATCGCCGATATGCGCAACCGAGTGCAAGAACAAAATGAAAGACTGATGGTGAATGATGTGTAGATTGTGCGACGAATCTGCTGCGGTCCTGTCCACGAGGTATGAAAACCTCTACTGGTACGGCTGGCTTAAACAGAAGGACTCTGCCGAATTGAACTTCTTGTGGGCGAGTCCATGTTACATTCAGCAACTGGGCCGGGGAAAAAGCCTTCCCCTGCTCCGCCGCTCACGTTCGCAATCAGTGATTGTACATGGAGAGGGCCTGCCGGGTTGTTTCGATTGCAAACATGGCGGGTAGCCTGATGTCAAAACTTCGCGTTCGGATGCGCACGCAAAAGGTTGCAAGTTAATTGGTCGCCAGCGCGGCACGATATGTGCAGCAACATAATGGCAACGAGATTGCATGAGATGTTCTTCAATCCTTGGCAGAGAGGCTGCTTCACAACGAGCCGCTACCATTCATTTCGCTGACCGTCGGCCGTTGGTCGCTTGCTCAGACCCTGCTAAATCGGACCGGCAGGAGATTTGCATCTAAGCTTTGCCGACACAGTGGCAAGCGACCAAAAAAAGGAATGGACACCAGGAGATGCCGCCTTGGCACAGCCTTGGCTGCCTGTGTTGTCAAGGGCTGGCTTCAGGGATGGGCTTCGCCAACACAGTGTCGATCTCGAGAAGACCTCTCTGAAGCTCTTCCAATGCCCGATCCACCGCATCCAAGGAAGGGGCTGCCTGAGCACAGCACATGCGTACCGGGAAAAGTGTCATGTAGCTAGTGCTGGCATGTGGCCTGGGAGCCCTCGCTCAGCGATGCATCCTGATTGTGGGTTCCCGCTCGCAGGGCCCGATGTGTCTCCTCCCACGGACAGCTGGAGGGTGCGGGCTCGCGACCGTTGGAGATCTATTTGCATTGCCACTTGGCACTCCTTTAGGTCATTCGATCATATGAGCATGCCTGAAGACAGTGTTTCAGAGGTTTCATAACATGTGGGATTTCATGGGTATGCCACGTGCTCACTCCTCTTCCGATGGTTGCTCGGGCTGTGCATATCGCTTCTGACTCTCCAAGACTTATCGGCTCACCAACGCACAGACGGAGAGAAAGTCCTCCACCAACTGCTCCAACTGCCGGGTTGCGTTGTCCAGGTCCAAATCCTCCGCCTTCGGAGACGCCTGGGCTAGCTGCCGACAAGCAAAGCAACTCGACTCAGCAAACCGGGCGTTGTATGACAATCTACTATAATTAATAACCAGTATTGGTATAGTGTATTTTCACATATTATAGTATAGGGTTTCCTGCTTACGAGATTGCAAGCTGGACAGATGCTGAGCAACCGCTCGCGCAACTGGATGTGTTGGATTTTCGGAATGCACAGGGCATCCTGGGTCCTGTATGCTGCTTGTAGTAGTTCTAGTTGTGATCCAAGGTCCAACAAGTCTGCGGATGCTGGACTCGGCACTTTACAGATTCGGAGCTTGGTAGCCGTTGCCTTTCCTGCTGCACAGCACCGGACCGTGTTCTGCACATGAAACCCTGTACACCATCTGTGGAGTAGACACGGGACCCGACCCTGGGCGGAGGAGGAGGGCGGAAGATGAGGAGGAGGAGCAGGAGGAGGGCGGAAGTGCTCCCGGACGGCTTCAGGGAGAGGTGCAGCAGCATTCCTGGTGAAGTCTGTCAGAAAGGCTCTAGCAGCCTCTGACGAGAATTTGCAGCCAAGGGGCCTCCAAGTGCCCAGTCCGAGTCTGCGCCCGCTTGCTGCCACAATGGCGGCAGAAGATGGAGTCCTCTGTGTAGGAGCTTCCGCAGCCGCGGCAATTTGGGTCCAGCTGGCCTGCATCGCCACGGCGCGATCGCAGGGCTGGAGTCTAGAGGCGGCTAGAGGACAAGCTTTGGAGAACTGCCTGGGCTATCACTGGGACCATATATGATCTCCCCGGGTGAAGCTCCGTCAAAATCTCGTCGCTCCGGCTGAAGATGTGTGTCCAAGTCTGCCTGTGCATGGCAAGACGGACAGTCTGACTACGCAGCAAACCTTGCGGGCATGTGCAATGACTGCAGCAGCTACCTCCCCCTCTGCATCCCTCGGTTGATCGCTTGTGTCACACAAGCTCGCAAGCTTCGAGAGTTGCAAAGTTCTCGCTCTGGTTAGAAAGTTGTTTGAGAATTTGAGGTGCTACGTGAGGCAGATGTGCCTGGTGCACCCTTGCTGGTGAACGGTTGCCGGCCGTCTGCAGCGTTGGAACATGAATCCGTGGAGGTGGTGCAAAGCCTCCATTGAACCTTGCAGCGCCCTGAGTAGTGGGCTCAGTAGCCACTGGCTCCCAGAATTGCGCAGCTTCCTGGTATCCGAACCTGGGAGCCCTCGCAGCTGGGCCTGGCAACGTAGAAGGCTCTTGCTGAGCATTGATGCCCCGCCGTCTTTGCATCTCGTGACTGTCTTGATCGGGGCGGTACAGCTCCGCAAGCAAATTCCGCGGAGCTCTCCGTCCTTTCGAACCTCTTACACTGTCTGCCAGGCCCTCAGCCGCAGATGGACCACGCAATCGACTCTCTGATGATGCCCGGGCCGGCGCCCTGCGAGGCAGGACGGGTCACAAAACACGAAAGAGAGAGCACATGGCCGGGCCTCTGGGCGGAGAGTCTGCTAGCTGAGGTGGCCCTTCTCCTGCTGGAAGTTGTTCTTTCTGTGACACACACACAAATGACTGGAGGGCGCATGTCCATCCAAAGGCTTCATGATGTCATGAACAAGTTTAAAGAATGAGACCAGCTGACGAACGTCCTGGACCGTGCCTCCACGCTTAGCTGTGGCGCAGTGTTGATCATCGGAGCTCGTCCGGCACTTCTTGCACGAGGGGGTCGCGGGCTTGGAGTCTTGTCCTTGGTGAAATGGTGCCCTTTCATGTGACCATACACATCCAGGCACGAGATGTTCCATCCTGTCATAACAATGGTAGCTCAATGTTCACCCTACTCGGTGCGACCGAAGGGTCTTCAAGACCACCCAGCCCTCTGCGCCGAAGTCGGGGTCTGCCCAGTGGCTTCTGACCGTCTGCCCCGGATTTCTTCTCTTTGCCCGGCTTTGGCACTTTGCTTGGGAGAGGCTCCGAGACGCGAATTTTAGGTCGATGATCGACCGGAAGCTCTGCTCGTTCTCGGTCGCTGACGAGCCCGCCACAAGACTTGGAGCGACCCTTCGGGCCGACCTTGTCCTTGGACTTTGATCGCTGCCGAGCCACGTACTTCTTGCAGCAGTTGCAGAATGGGCAACGACCGATGCGCGTCCCTCGCGACGTGCTCAGCTCCAAGGACAAGCGCTCAAGCATTGAGATGAGATGCTCCTCATCCGATACTCCTCAGGCCAACCACAAGGACATCAAAACAAAGGGGCGGTATCTCTATGATGATGAAACGAAAACGGTTACTTTGCCTCTCAAGGACGTTGCTTCGATTTCTTGGTGCCTTTTCGTCGCTCCGTGGGCTTGTCCATCGATGTCGCAACATGTGACGGGTCCTTGCCATAGGCTTCCACCAGGCTCTTTGGACAGGCACCAGCACCGGACATGGCGAGAAGCAGCGACTGAGCTCACATGGCACAGAAACACAACCTTCTTGGTAGAGATGAGCTGGATCACCTCCCTGGATTTGTGTAGGATGGGCACCTAGCTAAGCTCGCATCGGCGGCTTTACTGGAATGTATCTTGTGGTCCTGGTGCCATGTGACAACACTTGGCAATTTATAGCAATTGTGTCAATGACTCTCCTCATGGCAGCTGGCATGCACATTGCATGCTGCAAAACTCGGCAGGCAGTTGCGACCGGAACCAGGACTGCCCTTCAGAAATCCAAAGCCTTCCGGGCAATTTCTTCTGCTTGCATTTGACTGTCCTCACCTCGGCGTGTTTTTCGTAACGGTTCTGTTCTGACGAGTCATGCTATGCCCCACACACAACAGACTCAGTCCATGGCCACCGAAAACAAATATGAAGAGACGCTCTCTGACAAACATGCCAAGCTGCACCTGAAGTTGCTAACTCGGTGAGCAAACGGAGTCCATCAGCAGGCTCTCTTGCTGATGCTCTTCATGAAGCTGCACGGGCAAAGAGCGGATTCCGTCGCGTCCCGTCCAAGGTTCCAACGATGCCCAAGATCTGTTTGACGAAAATCGCGAGCCTCGGAACATGGAACTCATGGAACAACATGAGAAACACAGCGCCTGCGTTTTCCAAGCTGCGGAAGCATGGGGTCTCTCTCTGCTGCCACTCACCCCAAAGGCCGTATAGGCTGTAAGCATTCTAGGGGCTTCGGTAGAGCAGTGCCGACTCCTAGTGCCACGACGACTGCGACTGCGACCGCCACTGCTGCTGTTGCTGCTACTGCTACTGCTACTGCTACTGCTACTGCTACTGCTACTGCTACTGCTACTGCTACTGCTGCTGCCGCTGCGGCTGCTACTGCTACTGCTACTGCAACTCCTGCTGCTACCGCGACCGCGACCGCGACCGCTGCTGCTGCTGCTGCTACCGCTACCGCTACCGCTACTGCTACTGCTACTGCTACTGCTACTGCTACTGCTACGGCTACGGCTACGGCTACTGCTACTGCTGATTGCTACTGCTACTGCTGCTGCTGCTGCTACTACTACTACTACTACTACTACTACTTCTACTACTACTTCTAGTACTACTACTGCTGCTGCTGCTGCTGCTGCTGCTGCTGCTGCTGCTGCTGATGCAACTGCTGCTGCTGCTGCTGCTGCTGCTGCTGCTGCTGCTACTGCTACTGCAACTGCAACTGCTGCTACTGCTGCTGCTGCTGCTACTACTACTACTACTACTACTACTACTACTACTAGTGCTAATACTACTAACTAACACTGCTGCAGCTACGACTACGACGACGACGAAAACTACTACTGCCACTGCTACTGCTACTACTGCTACTACTGCTACTACTGCTACTACTGCTGCTACTACTACTACCACTACGACCACTACTACTACTACTACTACTACTACTACTACTGCTGCTCCCTGCTGCTACTACGACAACTACTACAAATAAGAACAATAATAACAATGATAAAAACAATAATAACAATAATAATGCTGCGACTGGCTGTTTAACAGGTGCAACAATAATGATTCTTGCTGATGGCCATGACCATGCAAGCAGCCATATGTAAAGCAGCAAGATACTACGGCCCCTGATAGTCGGGATCGCATTACACTGTGGTACTTGCTGGCTTTGGAGCAAAGACCTGTGCTATGCAGTCACACTTCGACTGAGCTGTCCACAGCCAGCACTTGTACAAGCTGATGCGCCTGCAAAAAATAAACGTTCGCAGGAAGCCAAGCTTGGCCGGCTTTGCCGACAGACTTGTTTGAATGGCGTCCCGCAAAACAAGAACGCAACAAGGCCGGCCACTCTCTCCCACCCGAGAGACTCCTTCCCGAGTTCCGTACAGGCCGGTAAACTATTGCACAAGCATCAGCAAAGGCTGTCGATTTGTGGGCTAGCTTGCCTGCTTTGTTTCATGATTGCCGTGGCCCATGGCTTGTGGCACGAGACTGTGTCGGGAGGCTGGCGGAGGGGGTGTGTTGGGAGCCACGGCATGTCTTGTTGGAAATGATGCGGAGTTCGCTTTCGTAATTGGGACCTACTATATACAAGGAAAAACTCCAACTACCACACATCAAGGAAGCTAGCGAGAGTGAGCAACGACACTTGACTGACATTCTCATGCGTTTTTGCTTCAGGAGGAAGCCAGCGAGAGTGACTAACGACACTTGACTGACATTGTCATGTGCTTTTGCTTCATGAGGATCAGACTGTCCATTCGACACTGTTTCGGTACCCAGGAGCACAACAAAACGAATCAAAAAGCACTGAACAAAACATAGTCTTGAAAGACCTCAAGAAGGGAGACATAGCTCTGCAAGGTACTGCGAGGCAACTGCGAGAATTGCTCTGAGTGCATCGGAGACTTTTGCCAGGGTACCCCTCGAACCAAGGCTGGTTCTCCCGGCACCTGGGCTGTGAGGACCGGGATCGCTGCAGCTACAGCTGAGATCTCCCTGGGGCCCGGCTTCAGCATCAGCGCATCAAGGCCGAAGAGGAGGATCGCAATGCGGGACAGGACCATCCACACCCTCAGCTAGTTCCGAGACCAGGACCTGGGACCTGGGACCTAGAGCTGCAAGTACTCACTTGATGCTGATCTTTTGTTCTGCACTCTTCGCCTTTTGGCGATTTCGATCGTGAGGGAGGCGTTTTTGTGCATGGCCGTGAAGTCCGAAGTTGTGTTCAAGGGTAATCGAAGAGGGCACTACGGCGAGGTGTTCCAGCGGAAAGCAGTGCCCTTCCCGAAGTGTTCCTGGAGTTTGCGCACATCTCCAGGCACCACCAGGTACCTCTGCATGTGGAAAGGCATCGAAGCATGTTCGGGCCCAGGCCACTCTACCGTCTTCGTCCACAGAGTTTCCCTGGCATGGAACTTGAGGCCAAAGGAGCCAAGCACGGTTCTGCCGCTCTGCCCATGCCCAATTGGCAAAGAAGGTCAGGGATGCCCTTCAAGAGCTGCCCTCAGAACACACTGAGAGGAGGCAGTCCTCAAATCGAATCTTCTCTTCAAAGCCAAGGCGCCTTTTCTGAGTTGCATCGGACATGATGATGGCCGGGGTGACAAAGTGCAGGGCTCGCATGGCCTTCGTGGAGTTTCGCTGGCTGTCATCCCTAAGACTGACAGAGCCAGTGCTCGCGCTTGAGACCAAGCCACACTCTGAGGCTCTCGCACTGAAAGAGCACAGCTCCGGCAGCGTCTCCCACACCCTGGCACCAGCTGAGAAATTCTGGTAGAAGTCAGGGGGGGATTGTATATTATATATTATATATTATATATTATATGTTATATATTATATATTATATATTATAAGCCTGGCACAGATTCCCAAGTGCGGGGCGCTGCTTGTACTGCCAGCCACTTCGTTCCACTTCGGCTGCTGGCCTTGGAGTACAGGGGTCTGTGGGTCCAGGCATGAAGAAAATTATACTATATTATACTATGTTATATTATATCATACTATATTATACTATACTCTATTATACCAAGATCACCCAAGGCTTGTTGCAAGCTGGCTGAGGGGCCAGCAACGCAGACCGTGCAAAGCAGCCCTGGGGGAGACTCAGAAAATTACACCGTGTGACTCTCCCAGCTCTGTCGGCAAGGCTTGGTAAACTGGGTGGTGGGCATAAAAACCTGCACCAAAGAGCCTCGGCTGTGGCCCTTCTGCACGAAAGAGTCTCTCTTAGGTCTTAGGCCCACGCAAGAAGGGCAGAGAGCTCAAGGCAGCAGATCAGGTCCTGCCCAGTGACCTCAGCTGTGCAGATCTAGGTTTTTCTGCAGGCGCAGTTCGCCAACTTTGCACTTCACTGAGGAGGCTTGTCAGCTTGGGCGGATCCAAAACAAAAGTCAAGCACGCTCAGCTGGCGACGCCAATGTCGATCTTGCCGGTCCACTCGTGATCTGAGGGCAAGCGGAGCTGGAATGGTGGTTGTTTCCATGAGAGGAGTCCAGCCATGATGCATACCATAGACGATGATGATGAGGGCTCGGGTCCCCGCAGCAAGCATTGATGATGTTGACAGCCTCTTGGCTCAGGAGGAAATGTTGGCTTTCACGCCTCCGATCCGAGCGGCAATAGCAGTTTAGCAGGCCAAAGAGCCGAAGATCTTAGGCAGGCACGAGTGGAAAATCTGGTTCAGGTCTTCGTAGACAAGGGAATACGTGTTCGAGAACTGAGATGAACACGGCACGCTGACATGGGCCCTGCATGGCTCTTCGAGGTTGCGTGCAGCCCGCTGAGACTGGGACGAGGTAAAACAGCACCGTCATGGCGGAGACCTCAGCAACCCAGCGCGAGCGCCTGCTCTTGCGATACTCAAAACCACACGGCACCAGTAGCAGCAATGCTGGTAGTCATGACCATAATCATGCTAATACGAGTAATCCTACTGACTTTCATGACAGTAGTATATAATGATTCATGGTAAAATGCGCGCGGGTCTTGAAAGCAAGAGAGAGGCGCAACCCCCCTCCGTCCCCCGCCCCTCTCCAGTCACAGCTCCAATATAACGGCACCGGAGAATCCATGTAGAACCTACAAGTATAAGCCCAAAATGCACTATAGTACGGGCTGTCGCGCATAAAGAAAAGATATATACATACATATATATATATATATGTACATACACACGCACATATATATATATATATATATAACACCGAAAACCCTAAACTGTAGAACCCCAGAACCTCTAGAACGCCGAGTCCGATGAAACTCTCAAATCCCAGACCCCACTTGCAAAGATCTCCGGTGCAGCCCTTGCTGGGGGCATGGCTGGGCGAAGCTTTGACCTGGCGACAGTATGTCAGCGCCTTACATTACGCATAGGTACGCTTTAGGGTTTAAGCTCTCACAACTCGGACAAGCCAGGTTTTAGGGTTTACACTAGGGTCTGGACAATGGCGACTCGAACGATGCAGGCGAGGCGTTTCGGGTTTGGGGGAGAAGGAAGAATAAGGATACTAGCAACGGTCATAACAGTCATACTGACAATGATAAGATTTAATAATCCACCTCATCATGATGACGACGACGGGAATTGCAATGCTTTTGGTAATGCTGAGTGGTGATGATGACAAGAACAGCAACAATAGCACAGGCCCAACACAAGTCGCAATGATGACAACGATAATAACACTACGACGGACAACAATTGCCGTTCTACAAGCAGGAACACTGATTATGACAATGACTCGCAATGATAATAGCGATTATAATGATGATGATAACAACAGACAGTACGATACAGTAACGCTGGCTTACAATAGACCTGACAACAACAAAGATGCGGCTATTCTATTGCTCCGCAAGCGCAGGCTAAAAAGGGCTTCGACTCGTTTTCTCTCAGCCGGGGCTTTCAGGGCTGCAGCTGCGCCACTGGAGTTCCGTGTCCAGGTCTCTGCCTTACATGCCATGGGCAGAAGCGGAGTGGACAGATGTGAAATAGGTCAGGAACGGATGGAGAGGGAGTGACACAGACGGAGGAGAGAGGCGAAAGGGAAGGCAGCAAAACGACCAGCAAACCTGCAAAGGTGCATGCCCGACATCAGTCCAGACTTGCTATCTTACATCTCAACTAAGCCTTTGTTCATAACTCCCTCGCTGCTTGGCCACTGCACCCGTCATCCGCTCTAAAGTTGCTCGGGTGCATTTAGGCGTCGGAAGTCTGCCAGTATACCGAGGACGCACGAAACAATTTGGCGTCACCCGAGCCCTCAGCAACAGAATCAGCTCGCAGCATCGAACCGTGACATCAACACTTCCAGCACGGTCGGCGAGCGAGGCAGAAGTAGGGCATGCTGAGGAATCTCTAGCGAACGGTCAATGGTCGAAGATGTGGCCAACATCACCAGCTCGTCTACAAACCATGAGCCTGTGAGGAAACGTTTCGCCGTGGTCTCAGCAAGCAAGCAATTGTTTCGGAAATTGTTTCGCGAATAGAACCGAACATACAAACTTCAAGCTAATCTTTCCAAGGGCAAACACAAATTGAGGGAAGCGTGTCCTGGGTTTGCCAAGGTGGGGACTTGGCTCGGCTGAACCGCGGTTGGAAGTAGGCCTCCAGCTTCAACAAAAGCCCTTCAACCCCACACGCCAACACCGGATGCATGGCAGCATTAAGATCACTACCAGAAGCAATGCAGCCAGCACCAGATGTATCATAAGAAGACAAAGCAGGCGCGACATAGCCTCGGGCAGCGACTCTTGTAAACGAGCGGCATGATCCGGCCGCCTGCCTCGTTGTAGGTGCGAGTGATGCCCAGTCGTTCCAAGAATACCTTGACTACGGAAGGTCAAAGGCCATAAAGGCCATCACGGCTTCCAAGAAGGAGCTTCCCGTGTTCTTGGTCTCCGCACGTCTCCAGACCGCAGCAGCGCAAGGCCGCCAAACTTGCCTGCCTGCGGAGTACACTTTCAAATCTTTGCAGGGGCTGACTGTCGACACCGCGACCTAAATGCTGGCACCTGTAAGGGCTATATTTTCGAGCAGCGCTGGCACATGCCATGTTAGCACGCCATAGCACAGCGAGTCGGGAGGGCAAGTACTTCTATACAGCCTTGGGAGCTATTTGCATCCCGCAGCACCAGGACAAGTAAAGTTGAGTGCAAGGAGGCAACGCAAAGTTCACAGCCTGTAGCAAGGTCCGGACAGCGTCATGGAGCTAGTCGGTCCAGAGTGAAACTGACCAGTTGTTACGCATTCTACTGCAATTGCTCGAGAACCTGCGTGGCACATCATTCTGTTGACTTCCTTTCCGGTAGCTCCACCTTGCTGCTCTGATGCAGCTATTTTACACGATGAGTCTTCACAGACAGAGTCGACTTCATGCAGTCTGAATCAGACGGGAGATCCTGCAGATCCTGCGGGTGACATCGGTGGTTAGTGATAGTGATTGACACCGTGTGTACGACATGCTCTGGAGCTGTCCTGCCTCATAGCTCCAAACATCTACGATGTGCCAGCTTGTGGTTGCTCCTGCCGTCCCCTACATAGCCAGCTTCTTTAGCTGACAGCATGAAACTGTCAGGAGTGTTGACGGCACTATTGCATCCTTCATTGAGAGAGCCAGCTGCAACGGCTGCTGCTGTCGACGTTCCACCACTTCCTTCCAAAGCCTTTCACGAATTGAGCATGGCTGAAGCCCAGACATGCGCCGCCTGTCGCAGTCGCAGCCAGGCAACTCACGCTCGTGCTTCACGCGCTCCAGCTGGGACTCAATGTGCTGCTGGGAAATCTGCAAGAGCCGAAGAACGCTGTGGTCAGCTTTCTTTGCAACCATATCCTGAGAACAGGATGATGACATAAATGAAATGTACAGTTCATGCGTCACAACCTTGACCTTGTCACGCGTTCAAAAAACAGCCGACGGAGTGGCAGCACCCTCAGAAACTTCGGCACAGTGCATGGCTAAGGAAGTCACCAAGATGTTGCGGAAACGTTGGGAACAGCGTTGGCGCCATGCTTTGTCGACACGGAAGGACATGTTCTCCGCGCACTCCTCCAACAAGGTGGCCGTGGGCGGGGGTGCCCATAGTTTCGGGGTTCTAGTTTCGGATGGGCTGCCGACGAGTTTCGGATCACGAGGGTGAGTTTCGGGGCCCAGTTTCGGGGCGGGGGAGGGTCAGTGTCGGGGCGCGAGGTGGTCAGTTTCGGGCCGTGGGGTCAGCTCCGGGGCGCGGGGGGGAGGGTGGGCTTCGGGATGTTGCCAGGTGACTACTACAATACCACTAGAGTAATTCATACTAAGAGTACTGCCAACTAGTTCTGCGAGTACTTTTGGTACTACAGTGCTACTTGTACCAGTACGACCAGTACGAGTAGTAGTTGCCACGAGTACTACTGCTGCTTGTACTACTAGTAGTTGCTACGTGTGCCACAAACTGGCCGCTCCCTGATCCGAAACTGGACTTGTCTGGATCCGAAACTGACCTGGCCTCTGCCCCGAAACTCCGCCCCGAAACTCAACACCGAAACTAACCTCGAAAACCCTGAAACTCGCAACTTCCCCGTGGGCGGCTCATGCGCCATGATGACGAAGAGCATTCCCTTTTGCCAGCCCTGTACGTCCCGTTCTGCTGCAATGCAGCAGCCTATTGAAGAGGTTTCATTTACGGGTAGATGTCTGTGAAGGAGAAGTGCCAGCCCTCAGACCGCCAGCCTCCCAGCCCAAGAGCTCAACATCAGCTTCACCTTGGTCAGCACCTTCTGCATCATCGAACTTGGGGCCGGGGAAGACTCCGACCACCTGAGCTGGGCCACTGGGGGACTCGGAGTCCCCTTGCCTCGACCTGGCGACCGAAGCGACACCCGTCCTGGGCAAACTTGACCACACCACGAGTCAGCGCAGCCGTGCAATGCTTCAAGTCCTCAAAAGGCTTCTCGTTCACCTGAGGTTAAGGCGAATGTTCGAAACGGCTTCTTCATGCTTCTTCCCAAGCTACGTTGCGACATAACTCCGTCCGAGTTCACGAGACACCAGACGGAAGCCATGACTCCAGCAGTTGGATACGCACATGAGCCTCATGCGCCCACAATCTGCCCGCCTTCGTGTCCAAGACATCATGCACCTCAAGAACAGATATTGGCAGGGAAAGGGCGAGAACAGAGTTCGGTGGCACGAGCGTTTAGACTCGAGTTGTTGCAAACTTGGGCAGGGCTCCTCTCGGCCCTAGGCCCTTAAGCCGCAGCGAGGGAGGGGTCGAAGCTCTGGGGTAAACTACTGTACTGTCACTGCGGCTGAGGGTCCGCATCCATTTGTGCTTTCCAGTTCTGCTCATCCATGTTTCCTTCACGGGTCAGACTCTGGCAGAAGACACACAATGCATGGATGCAAAGGAGAGGAGAAAAGCCAAGCTGCGCTGCTTCTCCATCTTTCGGGTCGCATCACTATTCTTCTGAATGTCCACTTCGTGGGAAGCACTCTTCACGGTGAGCCCATTCACCTCCTCGAGCTGACGTACTTTCATCAAAGTCCCTCGCTCTGCTTCTGGGCGTGGGTTCAGGAAAGCCGGCCTCCCGCAGCTTGAGGATGTCGCGCTTGTGCTCTCCCAGTCCTCCCTGCACCCCACTCATGCGGAGATCCAAGGCTCCCAGGCGGCGGGAGGCTTCCGCACTCCGGAGCTCCGCCTGCAGAGAAAGAGGACACACATGCTCCAAGTATGCGCGAGCCCTGCCTGCTGTTCCACCGCACCGATCTTCTCGAAGGCCTCCTGCCTTGGAAGTCGGGCAGAGCTTCCATGCGTCCCACGCTCTTCTCAGACCGGCATCTCGCACAGGAGTTAGGAGTTCACCTCCAAAGAGGGAGCAAAACGGTGTCCGAGATGCTGCTTCTGGCGAATATCGTTCTTCAATCGGGCTTCTGTGTCGGCCACATTTCTTTCCAGGTCACTGCGCACCACGGCCACCTCGTTGAAGCAGTCGCTCAGAGAGTTCTGCGTCGTGTGCAGGCTCTCTTGCGTGGCTGCCAGATCCTTGTTCGTGAAGTCCTTGGAAGTCACAGGAATGGACAGTCATGCCAAGGGATGCGATGGACGCACGGCACATGCGAGGTGCTCATTGCTCAGGCTCCATCAATTCGACCATTAAGCGCGTTGACTGCCTGGTCTGTGTCACTCGTGATCTTTGCCTTGGACTCCTCAAAGAGAGGGAGACCGCTTCCAACCGGTGAACAAGCAACCCCTTCAATCCTGCGCCGGGAACACTACTCGCCAGCAGCTTTTTTCTACAGATGGGCTGTGTGAAACGCACTGACAAGGAAAAACATTGACCGTCTGATGTTCTAGAGACGTCTGCCAACAGCTGGGTGGTGATATGGACACTGACGGCTCTGTGCTAAAGACTTGCCCCCAAGCTCCTCCAAGTTGGTCTCGACAGCCGTGATATCATGCCTGATGGTTGCGAGGATCTCGTCCACCTTGCGGCGCCTGGCATCCACGTCCAGGCGAAGCGACGAGACCATGTCACGGACAGTCTTGATAGCAGCATCCAGATCATCGTTGGCTTCCTGGCAAGAGGCATTGGTTGACAATCTTAGCTTGCAGAGGCTTGGAAGTATTGCAGTAAGGACGACAGTCCTTCCAGGCAACATTGTCCACCTTCGTGTCCAACTTGGTGTTCATCTCATTCTTGAGGTTGATGATATCCTCGGTCAAATTTTCTTCCTTCTCCTGCATCTGCTGGAGGGTGTTGGAGACATCCTCCATCCACGAGTCGTGGTTCTTCAGTGCTTCTTGAATATCACCGATGTCGAGGCGCATGGTCGAGATCTCGGCCGTCATCGTGGCCTGCGCCGCAGCGAATAGTGGTCAGGTCAAGTGCAATCTTCTTGCCTTGTCGTCTGCCTTGCACAGCTGAAGACTCTTGCAAGCGGGCCTCCACACGCTGCCTGCTGGTGATGATGGAATGTGTGGCATCAACACGGGCCCGCATCTCGTCAAGGTCGACGTTGACGGCATCCATTGCAGCAGTGAAGTCCTGGAAACAGGCCGGGAAAAAGGGCATGAAACAATGACTTCAAACAGCTCTGCGAAGTCCCGCCTCCATGTCACGCTCACATGCCAGTACGATGCGGCGGATGTGATTGACTTCGCCTTTGTTGTTGCCTAGCAAATCCTTCAGCTCTCCGACGTCATATTTCAGCTGGTCCAGATCCTGGCCACATGAACGACAGCAACGGCACGTCGCGAATCTCTGGGGCAAGCATACAGAAGTAGGCAGCTGCACAAGGTCCTCCGCCATGGTATCCAGTCCGGCAGCTCCGCCTGCACCATCCACTGGCTTCGTGGCGGCAGCCCCGCGGTTGACATGCGAAAGCTTTTTGTCAAAGTCCTTAGAGTCTTCAAAGTCTGTCGCACTGGTGCAAGGTGCACCCACACAGGCTGGGCCAGGTGGCCGTTTGGAGGTTCGCCAGCTGTGCTGTGATTTGCGACTCGAAGTCCTGCAGTCTCGTCGCCACCTTCCTTGTGAGCAGAGAGCCGAGGGTCGCAGTACGCACATGATATAGCATGCATAGACAGCCGGCTCGGCCGACTGTGCAAAAACTTCGCTGAGCTTTCCTGGCTGGCCCGCCAGAAGCAGTCTGCGGCAGGGGCTCTTCATGATCTGAGCATCACCACCTGTTTTGCGCGATGGAAGGACGCCGCCTGCAGCTGAAAGGCTCTACAGAAAGATGGGGTAGGGAGGACAACGTCTTGCACTGCTCAGGGCCTCAGTAGCACTGGGTTGTTTCATCGGTTATGCCGCATGTTGAAAGCGCAACCCCGATAACATGCCAGAGTAATGTGATAAAATCTAGAGTAACACTACAAACGGCACACTACACTACAAGACCAAACGCATAGCAGGCTCCTACACATTATAGTTTGGTATCGTACGATATTCTTCGAGCTTCTAAGGCACAGAAACGATTCGAGATAATATTTGAAATGTGCGGTGCCACAGGCAAATGAAAATCATGATATGCATCACCATGAGGGTCCCCAAACCCTAAGAGACCTTCGCCGTCGGCTTCCAAGGATTTCTCAATGGCCGCAAGGCGCTTCTCCAACTCTTCCAGTGTGACCTGGGACCAGCCAGGGCTTGCTTCGCACAGACTGACACACGGGATGAGGATTTAATGAGGGTAGGCGAGAAAAGATGGCTTGCACGAGTAGTAAAATGAGGTGCTTCTTAAGCGGTGCCATCCCTTCCCGCATTGCAAATGTCTGTGCTTTGCATGCGAGTTGCCGTCATAAATTCCAAGTAAGCCGACCGCTTGCGACAACCGCGCTGTCTTTGCGCAGCAATGCAAATTACACGAGAACTTGAGCAACAAGGCAAAAACATGAACACACCGCGGTCGACAAGCATCTGGAGCTACTCTCCGCTGACTCTCCACTCGTAGTTCACGGCAAGCCTTCCAGTTGTTGCCACTGCCATCGTGCGTGTTTCTGCTTGCCTCGTGTGGATTTGGAGCGAGCGGCGCCCCTTCCAGTTCTTGCCGACACAGGGCCTTGCGCCAACTTGCAGATTCACAGTCCGCAGTCCCACAAGAGACACAAGCACACCAGACTCCTCGCAACTCTCACTTTTCAGCCGCGAGATCTGTACGGGTCCGTCGGTGCACGGCTCGACGTAAGCTTGCGCGCTAACAGTTTAACAACTGAGATCAACGAGCTGACCAAGACTGATATTGCTCGTACACTTTGTGCTGCCACATTCCTCTGCTAGACGCGAGCTGGCGAATATTGCACCCTGCTCGTGGGTTGTTGCTTGTTCCGTCATCTGATTCAAGGCATGCGCAGCTCCAAGCGACATGCTTTCGAGTCACTTGGTGAGGCTTTGCTACCCAGTAGATCATCTAGCGGCTCAGAAGACCACCGTGGCCAACATGCACCCCAAGGACTGCCTCAGTCAGGCGAGTCCCAAAAAAGACGTTGGCTTAGAACCAACATGCAAAACTGCCAATTGATGGCGCCATGCATCGCGTTACAGCTGAAATTCGTCACCGTCTGCTGAACTATAGATGGTGGACTGTGCTTTCAACTCGTGCATCAGCACTGCGTAATCTGGATGCTTGGCAGAACCGAGTAGCAGGATATTGTTGTTCATGATCTCCTCAATGTCACGCTCAAGCCTCTTCTTGGCGTCGATCTTGCCGGCCTTCGGCGCAAGGCTCACATCACGCAATCGGTCGAAGCATTCCGAATATGGGGCTCGCCTGATTGACGACAAACTCGTCTTCGGTACTCTTGAACTCCTCCTGAATAACTTTGTTGTATTTCTCCTTGGGAGAAGTAGAAGTGGCAGGAGACCATAGAAAGAACATCCTACATCCAGGCAGTCGCCAAAGTTGCGCCAAGGTTCAGTGAGGTCTAGCATCTCTTTCACCTGACAACGAAAGCTTTCAGTAAGCAGACTTGCAGCAATGTGCCGATGACACGCAGAGCGCCCCACCGTCTTCTCATTATCACCCTCGTGCGTGTCGAAGTTGGTGAGCTTCAATCCGTCCTGGCGATCGGCCACAAGCCAAACCGCCAACAAGGACACCTGTTTAGCAACCGATCCTGCCACTTCTTCTTTCCCAGGTTTAGCAGCATCTTCTGCTCCAGATCGTTTTTTCGGTAGTTGATTGCGATGGAGTAGTAGTGGCCTCACAGGCTAGATGCAGAAACCTGTCCATCTGGCCCTGGCATACTTGCAGGAGTAAAGTTGTCCCGTGTAAAAGCAAAACTCCCACTCTCTTGCTGCAAAAAAGAGGCGGTTCAGACCATGGATCAAAGCTGTAATGCTGGGCTTGTTCAGGTGGCCAATGTTGGATGTCGTCTGCCTGGGCTCCTCGCTGGCTTTGACAAGTACCCGGCGAGTGGACTGACACGATGTGACATTATGCTATGACATGTTAGAGTATGCTATACTATGCTGTGCTACGCTGTTATGTGCTATTGTGTTTTATGTTACACCATGCTATACTATGTCATATTGGCCAAAACTGGAGTATGTCGCTTTAAATTCCTTGAAGGTATGCAATATTGTGTCATGTGTTGTTTTCGCACTACTTCATACTGTACCATGTCTTAGAACATATCCTAACAAAGAATTACAAACTATCCTGCATTATGTTATGCCGTATTGTTGTTGTCTCACGATATGGTGATGTGCAATACTTTTTCTTATATGTTTTTTTGGTTGATACTTATGACCTCATGTTATTGTAGGTTACACTATACTACACTAGTTTGGATTACACTCTCGCAGCGGGATACGGTGTCTTATGTTCGCTTTTATCAACACGTGATTAAAGTTAGATAAACCAAATTCACATGTCATAAGTACTACACTAGACTATGAGACTACACATACTGAACTAGAGACTAGACCACAACAGACTGTATTGTGCTGGGTACAGCTATGTAATACTGCACTAAGTGGTGTCATATTATACCATACTATCCTGCGTTAGATTCAATTTTTCTATGCTAGGCATCCACGCACATTGCACTATATCAAAGTGTTTGATGTCATATCATGTCGTGTCAGATCATGTAACCCTATACAGGGCAAAGTGGCAATGCATCTATAGACTGTATCGTGTCACTGTTTTGGTGTGCGTAAATATGTATATACGGAAAAATAACAGTATCTATTGCACATCTTTGCAGATATTTTGCATCCTACGTTGTACATTAAGTTAGATATCACAAGTTGTATGTGACAAGTCATACAACATATACTATACACACTGCATTGCGTCATGCTGCACTTGTTGTAAGGTTGATGTATAACACCAAGTTGTACCAAGTGCCAACATATACATATATATATATATATATAAATACATGTATATATATATATACACATGTACACATGTATATATAGTTGTATATATGTAAACCTGATCATACACACACATAACATATGTATATATGTATATACATACTTGTGTGTTGTTTTGTTATAAAGACTTTGTAGTGCACTGCATGGTATCCGCTTGCACAAGATCATACTGCTTAAGATGAGGTTGCATACATGAGACTATGTGTATATATATATATATGTACTCAAGTGTAAGAACTTACATTACACCGTCTATTTTGTGCACTATTCACTACGCAGTATATGTTGCATATTGTACAAAACAGGTTCTACACGACATGCACAGAAATTAGTGTTTGAAACTATGCACTGTGTAGTACAAAGTTTTACATATATATATATATACATACATACATACATACATACATACATACATACATACATACATTACATAGAACATTCTTCTTATGTGACTCACCTTGCACACTTGTAGAAGCCCCTCCTGGCAAAGAGACGTATTAGACATATAGATATATAGAAGTATAAATGGTATAGTTCTACTCGGTCCCCCAATGGGTTCCCTCATAATCACGGATGACGATGCTGATGTTGATGGTGATGGTGACGATGACGGGGATGGGGAAGAGCATGCTGATCGTGATGATTATGAGCATCACGAAGCATTTGGATGCTTGGGCCTTTGATCTGGGCACCTCAGGTACATGTCATGGATGCTTTCTTTGCTCTTCGAAAGAGCATTCGAGATAAGCACTTTCAAGCAAGTGCCAGCTTTATGGCCAGCATAATGTACTCCAAGTAAGACATCGAAAAGGAATGCGACTTGCCAGACACTATGATGCTGCGAGTTCCATGGCGGCGTATGGCATGGTGAAGGTATGGAAGTGTTCGACTTGCAGGTCTTCTTGCACTACACGCTCCAAGAGACCCTGGGTGCGTAAAACGAACTACTCACGCAAAACTTCCAGAAGACTGTTACCGTACGAGCTTCGGCAGCCTTTTGGATAGCCTTTCAGCATTTCCTTGTCTTATGGCTCCTTGTCTTATGGCATGCAGCGAGAAGATGATGAGAATCGAGGACGAACTGCGGAGTGTACATGGCACAAGCAAGAGCACTGGCACAGATGGCAGACATTTGCGGGGAAGGCGGAGGTCTGCGTGGGCAAACCAGCATCCAAGCTAGGATCAATGACCAGACGCCCTGTGCACATTTCGAAATGCCAAATATCCTGATACACCTTTCTAGACACGAATCTAAATTAAACACAGCATACATACGTGTATATATATATATGTATATATATATATATGGTAACCCCCCCCTGGACCAACCTCCGCCATGAAACGGATC